TATAGGATTTTATTTCACGGAATGCGGAGGAAAAATGGCGTAGGATGTCTTTTTAACGATCCTTTTGAATGCCTATAGAAAACTTGCAGGAGCTGAAATGAGTACCATTTTAGAGTTTTTTCAGCCGTGAAAACGTCTCAGTTTTGAGAAAAATATATCTCTAGAGTGTTTCCATTCTGAGTACTTCCACGTAAATTTACTTAAAAATGACACTCAAAAAAGCTTTTATTCAATTTTTACTTATTTTAGGTTTTATAAATCTCCACTTCATTTTACTGGTTTAAATATTGAAGTAATTTTTTGAAAAATTCAACGGGAAGTTAAAGAAAAAAGAACAATAATCTGATGTTTTTTTTTATAAATAAAATTTGTACTTAGCTCATCAAATGAGCTATTTACAGAGTATTCGTCTAGTTAAGTTTTGTGCTTCTGATATTTTAGCACAAAACCATCACAAAAATTGTGTTTTCTGCCTCAAATTTTTTTTCATTTGTGATTCAGTTGACGTTTAAAAACAATCCGATGAAAAATTGTAGCAGAATGCGCTTTTTTTGATTGAAATAAAAACAATTTTTAGTCCTCTCATCGTGCAGAAATGCTATCGAGATAATCAGAGGTAAAGTCTATAATTGAATTGAAATGAAGTAAATTGAAACCTTTGCTCTTTAAAAAGATACCCTTATTTTTTCTCTTGGGCATGAGTGGATCAAAGAAAAAACGTCGGAAACTAAGTCAACCTCATTGTTATTTGGCAAATTGATATTCTGAGGCCTTCGAACACATAAAAAGACGAAGTGTCTCAAACAGTTTGGGTTAAAACATGTACATTTCTCACAGAAATCAACCATTTAATCTTTTCTCTTGCATAGATTTTTGAAATTGGCTCTGTCTGAAATGAGCATTTAGTTCAGCGGTACTCAAACAACGGCTTTCAAAACTGTTGAAAAGCAATGTTGCAGCGTTTTTGGATCAAACTTTGCTTTCGATTTTTTTGACTGTTCGAGTTGATGCTTATCAAAGTCAAAGAAACCTTTTTCAAAATCCAAAGTGTCTACCAATTAAATTGGTTATTCTATTAAGGTCTGAAAGATAATAACTAAGACGGATCATTTCTCGCCCAAGACCATCGAGTTAAAAAGTATAAGACAAGAAGCCAAAACTCAACTGCAATCCGGCAGTGACAAAAAAAATCAAAACAGATGATCTACAGAAAATTGAACAGATATCAGATCTGTTGAAATTTTATATTGTAAGACTACGATTATCAGATTTAAATAATCGATTACAACTTATTGTTCCGACTTTCGATACGAAAGTAACGGAATATTTGTGCTCGGGGTGGGTTTTTTTTCTTCAGACAAATTTCGACTTTTTAACTAGCCATTTTTGACGGAATTTTTTAATCATTCGAAAGCTATTGTTGTCTTGAGCTTGAATTTGAAAAGATATTTTACCTGTGATCATTTTTCATAAAGTTATGGGGGTTAAAGATTGCCATATTGGCCAATTTGGGACAATTAGCGCGCGATAAATTTCGCGCTATTAACGCGTAAGCGAGATTTAATCCGTCTTAGAAATCGTTCAAAATTGGTTCAAGGATACTTTTATGCCATAATTGATTTGTTAATAGGCGCAAAATCTATCACTTTGTACCTAATATGACGTGTTGGGGGATGTTTTCACATAAAATCTCAAATTTTTTCAATTTTTTTTTCTATTTTAAATTGAAATTTTTCATGTTATTAATGCTCCATAGACCCTAAAAGGCAGTCGGAACATTCAGGGCTTCGCCCTGATACGAGCAGTCTTGTTTTGTTTCGAAAACTTTTGTAATATTCATCTTCATTACATGATCATTACCAAATACATGATCATTACAGATTATTATTCCGACTTTCGATAGAAAGTAACGGAGTATTTGTGCTCGGGGTGGGGTTTTTTTTTCTTCAGACAAATTTCGACTTTTTAACTAGCCATTTTTGACGGATTTTTTTTTTCATTCAAAAAGTATTGTTGTCCTGAGCTCAAATTTTAAAAGATATTTTACCTGTGATCATTTTTCGTAAAGTTACAGGGGTTTAAAGATTGTCATTTTGGCCCATTTGGGACAATTAGCGCGCGATATATTTCGCGCTATTAACGCGTAAGCGGAGATTTAACCCGTCTTAGAAATCGTTCCAACTTGGTTGAAAGAAGCTTAATTGCCATAATTGATTTGTTACAAGGAGCGAAATCTATCCTTTTGTACTTTATATGGCGTGTGGGGGGATGGTTTTCATAAAAAACTTCAAATTTTAGAAAAAAAATTTTCATTACTGCTCCTTAAATAGCATCTTAAATGTTATTACTGCTCCATAGACATTAAAAGGCGGTCGGAACACTCAGGGCTTCGCCCTGATACGAGCAGTCTTGTTTAAGCTTTATATCTAAAAACTTTATACCGATTATAAACAGATTATATACTCACTCTTTGAACATACTCGCTCATCCGATAATTAGACTATACTGAAATTATTTTAAAATGTGATATAGTAAAATTATAATGTAAGCTTTTCAATTATTTTTTTGAGCTGTTTGTTCTGAAAAATTTTTTTAAAATGATTAATGTTGAAATATCTTGCAGCAAAAACTAATTGTCTTGAGGTGTTTTTTCGAACTTTTTGTTGTGTTGTTTCACAAAAATTGCGCTGAAAAAGTTGATCTTATGATGGGTATTTGAAGAAGTTTTGCGGGAGCCCTTAGTTTGCAAAATATTAGAGCGATCTTTCGAAACTTGCAGTTTGCGAGCAAGAAATCTCCTCATTTGAGTTCAGCGCATGATAACACTCAGAACGATTTTTACCGATAGCAAAACTTTGCAAAAAAAATGTGAAAAAAACTTTTAATAAAAGTTTTGGACGTTCACAACTGAAATTTTTACAACCCTTATAGTTTTTAGACAACAAAATCAAATTTGTTTAGTTTTATAGATGTTTCATACAGATTGTCTATAAATTATCTACAGATTATAAGCGACTATCTACAGTTTTATTATATGAAGTATACATACTGAGGATAACCGAGGATAACTTTTTTTGCACTCTGCCGGAAATCGAAATGATGACGTCTAAAAAATAATTGATCAACGAGAGAAACAGTGAATTGATTTCTCTTTCAAATTTTTTCAAGTTCAGTTCAAAAATTAATCAGTTATAAAAACTGTGTTCAATAGTTTAGGCAATTACTAATTTAGTCAAAAAATTGAACTAAACAGGTTCAGACGTTGATGCAGCAAGCGGCAATGTTATCCTTCCGTATTAATTCACAGTTCCTCATTGATATTGACTTGGTATTTCAAACACTAAATACCACTGAACCTAAATACTTTTTCTAAAAAAATTTTAAAGGAATGCTTTGTTAATATAATTTTTTTTTGTAAAAAAAGAGGTTTTACAAATAGATTTACACACTTTTTTTCACAAAAATCTTGACCATTCTAGAGTCCAATAATGCAGTCAGTTTTTACACATTTGTTCAGTTTTTGTAAACCTCGGGTGGTAACAAAGTTTTATTTGCCAATTTGTCCATTTTTTCAAAAGAACGAAGTTTTTAGCTATTGCTGATAAATTTGCGAACGGTTCATTGGTCCCTTTCTAGCGCTCTTGTAATCTCAGTTCTAAACACTTTTTCAAAAAAAATTGGCTATTTTTTCTATAGTTATCCAAGTGGCATGTGCATGTAAGGTACATGCATTCAAATCAGCTAACTGAGAAAAATGAATTTGGCCAGAAATTTATATTGAGTTGTCTAAACCAATGACTTGCCTTCAGTTTACAGCTCTACTGGAACTATTTCTAATAAAATAAAATTTTATTTGGTTTGTTGAAAATTAACCACTTCCTTGGACAGAGTTCAATTTTGCACTAAATTGTTTAAAAACACTTTTACAAAACTAATCAGTGGAAAAAAAATTAAAACTCACCCATTGTCATTGAAAAATCAAGAAGAATGTTCAATCTTTGTTTCACTAAAAAGTCTCTTTTGATCAATTTGTGCTGAGTAAGTGTTTGGCAGCTTTTAGATTAAATTATATCAAATTCATGTAGTCAAACATAGATGACAGTGGAATGAAATGGTGTCTGAAATTGGTATAAATAATATATATTTAGCTTTCCGACAGCAACTTTCATTCAGCAAATTTATTTAAAGCTCTACAAAAAAAATTAGCCCTGATTTTATTAGGCTTTTTTCTTGCAGTTATTGATTGATTTCTTGTTCCGACAATTTGAACAATGTGGATGAATTTTGTTTTCGGGCAGGCGCGGATCTAGGAAATAGAATAGATTGGCGCAGAAGGCGCCTTTAGAAAAGATTTAAGGTCAGTCACCCAAAAATGCATATCTCAAAATAGTACAAAGGGGGCCCTTTCGGTCGGCAGGGGTTCGAATCCCTGAAAAAGAGGAAACGCTTACCAACCCCCCCCCCCCCCCCCATAAATCCGCTACTGTATTCGGGTGTGTTTTTGTACTTTTTTTGTTTACACAAGATTTTAAAAACATTTGAAGTGTTGAGAAAATGATTATTTGGGTGTGTTTTAGTTTTTTCTTTATTTTCCTTATTGTTTTCCACGCAATATCAGGTACCACAAACAATCAATCGGAATGATTCGAGCGATATATCATATTGAAGTCCTTTTAGTCGTGATAAGAACGACATTAAACATTTTGAAAAACTTTTCTCCGTGTCGAGAAAAACCGGTTTAAACTTGTTGATTTTTGGACTAATTGTGACCCTTTAGCTAATATCACATACTTAAAAGAGACAGAATCATTATAAACACTGGTTTTAAGCAAATACTGCAAAAAATTTGTGTGAAGTTTTTTTAAATTGCTTTTTTTGATGATTAGCTACTTTTTTAAAAGTTTAAAATTTTGCAAAAATATATTACCAACTAAAACTATTTCAAAATTATGTTTAGCTAAATACAACCGAGGCCAAATCCACACTTGTCAGGTTATGTATACATATATATTTACATTTTACGCAACTTTTGAAAAAACACGTTTTAAGATACATAGTATGTTTTGTGCAAAAAATTGGAGAAATTATAGTGTTCTAACTAAAAAAAAATTCTGATAAAGATACGCAAACTGCATAAAAGTATAAACTTTGAAGCAAGTTTATCCACATTGCTGTAGATATAGATAACTCTGACATTATTCTGCGAAAAGTAATCGTAATTTTCTGGCAGCAAACTTTCAGATTCGATTTCCCTTTGGGGTGATTTTGTTGTCGTATACGACAGAAGCTCGGTTTCTGCAAGCCCATTGGTCAACGAGGCCATATATTCCAGCTGATCGAAGCTCATTCGGGTCAAGTGATCGTTGGATAGTTTTGTAATTTGCTCGACTGAAAAACGTTTGAGATTCGGTTCGATTACTTCGGTAAAACTCAGTTTGTTGACTATTTCTGGTTTAACTGCCTGCAATGCCAACTTACTCGAACTTTTAAGCCAACGTGGATTAAGATAAGGAACTAGATTTCCCAGTTTTGTGATAACCAAAGGAGTTATATTCATTCCTGGAAATCGAAAAAGGTCAACAGCTAGATTGGCGAAATTTGAATAAAATCTATCGGAACAAGTCGTTAGTTGACCTATGATGGGAATACTCTTTCGTAATTGGTCAACCGACTCGAAATAAGATTTGATTGCGTTGTTGTGTGTCTCCGTTGGTAATTCGCACATAAGGTTTCCAAAAATCGAAACTTTCCACATGTTTAGAGGACCAACTGCTTCATATACCCGAGAGAAATCATTGGAGTCGAAAAGAAATCCTTCAACTTTCCCAATAGATTCCAGAACCTCAAAACTTCGAGGATTTTTGTCGGTTACCAAGTTCAAGATACTATTTACACTGATGTTTGTGAACGGAAGAACATGAGCTGATTTAATAACTTGTTCATGTGTGATTTCAGCATCCGCCGGGAAAATAGTTTCAGCGATTTCCGTTAAAACTTCATTTTTGAAGAATTTTTGGTGTTCTTTGATGAAAATCGAGCATCGCTCTAAATCGCATTTGCTCGAAAATTTTTGAAATTCTGACGCTTCTAAGAAACTGTTGCCCCAAGTTAGGCTTCGAATTACCGGGCAAGTTAGGAATTTATCGGACCCTGACTTGCAAAGAGATTCCAAGCCTGCAATAGAATTTGATCGAATGGTTTGGGTAACCAGACCTGACACAATTTTTGCACATTCACTTTGATTTTTACTCAATTCATTTTCTTTTCCAAGCTCATTAAGAACTTTTAAAAACGCCGATAAAAAGTATTCTTTCTGAAGATAAAGTCGCTCTGTTGAGTTATGGTCGAATTTGAAAACTGAGCAAAAATTCGCGCCCAAATCTTCGACTTTTTTTGGCGTGATGAAAACAAAGTGAAATTTGTCTTGAATTACTCCAGCAGTTTTTTGGTCGATTTCACATTTGCTGAAGTAGATTAATCCGTTGCTAAGCAGTTCGTACGACATTTCATTGACAGTTTTTATCGCAACGTAACATAAAAGATGTCTCAAATTGTCGACATCTTTTTGTGTCATTGGTTCATGCAATGATCGTTTGGATGGCGCTCGCTCACAGTTATTCATATAAACCTTGGCTAACATTCTAAGTCGAGGCGTCGGCAGTTCAAGTAGGTATTCGTCCTTCACCCGACTGAAAATATTATGACAGGCTAGTTTGTTCACTCCTTCCCACTCGTTTTCCTCGAATTCTAGAAACATTTCAGCAGGCATGAAAAAGATATCTTGATAGGGCAGCAATTGAATTGTAAAATCAGGTAAGACATTCAACTTTTTGAAATTTTCTCGAAACATTTTTGCTGCAAACTGCGCTTGTGATCTTGTGAACTGAGTTTTCCGCGAGCCGTAGATGCGTAAAATGTCAATTTGGTCCACGAGCGAAAGTTCATTTAGGTCATCAAAGTCCATACCCAAAATTGTGGAACCAATGTCTTCCGCTATTTTTGGGGTCAGTCGATAAGTTTGCGTGTAAATCTCAGATTGAAATATAGGATCTTCGATTTCGTCGACGGGTAGTTCGGCTTTTGATATGAAGTGTTGTGTTTCTAATATGCCTAAATAAGGTACTAAGTTTGAAGGCAGTGCCGTAATTGACAAGTCATTTGCTATTTTATCAGCTATTATCAGTTTCTGTGTATGCGTTGCTGCTTGCAGAAAAACAGGGCACTTTTCAACCAACTGCAAAAATATTTGACTTGGTAGGGATTCGAACTCAGTTAGGGGAATTCCCGATGCCAGCTCACATAAGTTTAAAGCTACTTCCTCTCGCGTCTGTTGAGGCTTCGTCGACGTGTAGGTATCTGCGATAAACTGAATCATTTCGTGCGGTAATGCATCTAGATTGTAAGTCTTGTCCTCTATAACGTATTCAATTTGCGAAACCAATCCGTGTTGTTTTATGTCTTCAGGAGTTACTACCGAGAGAAGTTGACCCAAAGGGTAATGACTTCTGTGCCTATCCATAGAGTAACTCACAAAATTATCTTCTAAAACTTGTATCAAAAACGGGTTCTGTGAGGCATCAAATTTCAAGTTATTTGGTACGTTCAGCAAGCGGGATGCTAATTGAACAAAATCATTGATTCTAATTAATGATACCTTTGAACCTATATTAGCTAATCTGCCTAACTCACTGTGATACGTGCGCAAATTTGATTCGATCGCCCAATTAACCGAATCGGTCAAAGAGTCGACCGTTTCCTTCTGACTCTCGGGTTTCAAAGAGTCTAAATTATCCAAGATTAGTTCTTTCCAATTCTTAATTATATTTTCTGTTTCGTACGGTGAAATACAATGCAGCCAAGGTTCCAAATCTGCTGGAACGAGACGAAAAGTTAGATCTTGTTTTTGAATCTGCCCCAGAAGATTCAAAACATATCGACATAATCCGTCGTCTCGAGTTTCAAGAGTCGCCAAAGAGCTGACAAGTCGCATCAAATGAGTCGTGAGTAATTGATTGTCGTAAAGCCACTGCAACTCGATTTCCGTTGCTCCTCGCGCGAAATCTGAAGTTACTTTTTTGAAGTCGCCCGTTAGAAAAACTTCGTCAATTTGGGCATTAAAACCCAAATTTTGGGTCCATTTTAGAGTCGGTTTTAAGTGTCTCGTGAGATTATACGCCGATGATCTATCTGAACAAGGAGCCGGTTCAACTTTTCCACATTCAGAAAGCGCCCTGAAAACTTTTAAGTGAGTCGTTAAATCGCTCGGGTGTGTCTTGATTATCGCGCGTAATTCCTCGTTATTCAACAGTTGAAAATACTTGTCAATTGACGAGACAACTAGTAAGTTTGACATTTGTCTCGTTTTTTGGTTATTATTTGATTGAAACGAGTTGAAATCGGATTGAATTTCCGACTTGAGGTCGGCCGACGAGTTATAAAGAGTGAAGTTCACCATATTCGCGAGTTCGGTATTAAATTCTAAAACCGACTGGACGGTTTCGGAAGCAAACGAAATAAAAAAGACAAGAGTTGTCAATTTTTTGATGCGTGAAGGTTTCATCTTGTTGGTTCTTCGAGAGAAACTTGTTTCCGAGAACAATCAATAAAAGAATGAAGACAGACTTTTTGCCTTTCTCAGAATCTAAACAAGTGAAATTTAATGTGAAAATATTATGAAATTGTATCGAGCTCACATATATGAAGTTTCAAAAAGATGTTTATTTAGAACACTTAAAATCAATTTGCGTTCAAACGCGTGTATTAATGACTGTAATTAGCAAACCATGGGTGACAAAAATAAATTAAATTGTCAAAAGAAACAAGATAGAAACTCTAACTGTATAAAAAAACCGTCAACTACAAGTGGAACCAAAACATAAGATTCAAAATAAAAAACGTGATGAAAACTAATTTTATAATTACTGAATAAACACGTCATAAATGCTGCTGAGAAGCTTTTTTGTTCCAAACTCATTCGAAAATCCATTATTTATTTTTGAAAAACTTATTCTGAATCTTATTTTAAAAAAAAACAAATGATTTGTGAACACAAAAATTAAGTTATAGAAAACAATCGTACTAATTGTTCCGACTTTCGATACGAAAGTAACGGAATATTTGTGCTCGGGGTGGGTTTTTTTTCTTCAGACAAATTTCGACTTTTTAACTAGCCATTTTTGACGGAATTTTTTAATATCATTCGAAAGCCATTGTTGTCCTGAATTTAAATTTGAAAAGATATTTCACCTGTGATCATTTTTCGTAAAAATATAAGGGTTTAAAATGTGCCATTTTGGCCATTTTGAGCAATTTGGGACAATTAACGCGCGATATAATTCGCGCTATTAACGCGTAAGCGGAGAATTAATCCGTCTTATAAATCGTTCCAAATTGGTTGAACGAAGCTTATTTGCCATAATTGATTTGTTACAAGGAACGTAATCTATGTTTTTGTACTTTATATGGCGCGTGGGGGGATGTATTTCATAATAAATTTCAAATTTTGGAAAAAAAAAGTTCATTTTATTTTATTTCATTTAATTTTTTATGTTTTTACTACTGCTCCATAAACCTTAAAAGGCAGTCGGAACATTCAGGGCTTCGCCCTGATACGAGCAGTCTTGTTTACCTTGTGTATTTTTGGAGCACCTTGCTGTAAAGTAACATATTTGCAATTTGATTTGGGTCAAACTTGAGTTTTGTGGAAACATAACAGGTCAACTAAAAATGAGTAAGCTTTTCGCATGATATTTAGTTTTATTTTTTAAAGTATGATTGTAATGTATTTATTACTGAACAACCATAATCCATAGCTAAATTTTGTGAAATTTATTGTAAAAAACTTGATATTTGGAGTCAAACATGTTTCAGAAGAAAGTTTGAAACTATTTTCATTACAAGGCCAAACTGTGCATTTTGTGAATTGCATGTGGATTCCGCAACCGGCAAAATAAGATTTAACGTGGAATCCGCAAGATTGCTATTTTTTTATCTTCTATGTTGTTTTGGATTCCACGGAAAAAAAAGCTAAAAAACTGTATTGCTCAAAATTGCTCCAAATACAGGCAACTTTGCGGATTCCGCAACAAAATGTGAGAAATCCGGAAATAGTTTGTGGAATCCATGAACAAATAATAATATATGTGTTTAAAGAACTTAAGCTGTCGCAGAATTCGCAACTGTAAATGGAATCCGCAAACTGCGAACGGAATCCGCAAATTGTAAGCAGATTCCGCAAATTGTAAGCGGAACCCGCAAATTGTAAGCAGAATCCGCAAATTGTAAGCGGAATCCGGATAAATTTGCAGAATCCATTTACATTGGCGGAATTCGCTTACATCAATGTGCCGACAAAATTTACGTTACAGGTATTTGTACGCGGAATCCACTGAAATTTTGTAGCTGGAATTCACTTACATTTTGGAGCATGTTTAAAGACTTGTCCCAGGAACATACAGGCCCAAAAATGCGCACCTCACCTATCCAAAGCTCAGTTTGGCCTCGTAATGTTATAAAGTTTTATGAGATCTAAAACATAAAATTAACACAGATGCGAAGCAGAACTTCGCACCACTGGCGAATGAGCAGAAACATAAAAGAAACATAGGAAGTCGAAAAATATCAAAAAAAATCAACAATGTTAAAAAAAACTAGGTCTACCAAATTTTAAATTTTGTATGTCACGATACGTGCCCGGCAAGGTTGCCAGACATTTGAATATTAAATTGGCAACAAATACCACCTGCGTAGAGGAAAAAAGCTGACAATCAGAGCAGACACAGACACATGTTGAGGCGAAAGAAAACAATTTTGTAAAAATTCTATAAACTTTATGTCTCACTTGGAACTACGAGAAAAACACTTTCAACTCCAATAAAAATTGCTTACAACACGAGAAAACTCAGCGATGTGGCTAATAAGCCGACAATTTTTTCAGCAGACATCAATTGACTCGAAAGGAAAATTTTAAAATATGTTTACGTTGTTCAAGTATCATCCCGAAAATGGAATGCCTAACACTTACACTTGCAACTGCAGTTATAGCTGCTTATAGCACAAGCAAAATCCGTGATGCGGTAACTTAGACAACATAACTTGAGCAGTCAAACGAAAGTGCGACAATTCAATTTTTACTGAACCATTAATCGCAATTGCATACATACGAAAAAAAATCCTGGCCGAGACTCAAATCACAATACTAAGGATGCAAAAAAGACCACGTTACTTCTAGGCCATGTACATGTATTCAAATCAGCTAACTGAGAAAAATGAATTTGGCCAGAAAGTTATATTTAGTTGTCTAAACCAATGACTTGTCTTCAGTTTACAGCTCTACTGGAACTATTTCTAAAAAAATAAAAAAAATTTTGGTTTGTTGAAAATTAACCACTTCCTTGGACAGAGTTCAATTTTGCACTAAATTGTTTAAAAACACTTTTACAAAACTAATCAGTGGAAAAAAATTAAAACTCAATCATTGTCAGTGGAAAAAAAAATTAAAACTCACCCATTGTCATTGAAAAATTGAAGAAGAATGTTCAATCCTTGTTTCGTTAAAAGTATCTTTTGATCAATTTGTGCTGAGTAAGTGTTTGGCAGCCTTTAGATTAAATTATATCAAATTCATGTAGTCAAACATAGATGACAATGGAATGAAATGGTGTCTGAAAATGGTATAAATAATATATATTTAGCTTTCCGACAGCCACTTTCATTCAGCAAATTTATTTAAAGCTCTACAAAAAAAATGGTGTCCTACAATTTAATGACATACAATTTAACACCGTACATTTTAACACTTAGTCTTTTCACTACTAAACAATTTAAATCGACAACAATATAACTCCTATTTTCCAGTTTAATACAGTACATTTAAACACCTAGTCGTTTCACTATTAAATCTAATGCTGTATGAATTCCTTATCTTAACTCTTATCACACCGAAAGTTAATCCTGCAATTAACACACGCACCATAATCAAAAACTTGGTTTATCTTAGTTATACATGCTAAAAGGAGGCTTCCTAATTTACTTAAGACTCTTATCTACAAGTTTGTAATTTACTTTCAATTAGACTTTTCGCAAAACCATTATGATTAGTGAAAAAGTGCTTGTGCTAATTGAAAATAATTTGACGTAAAAATTCTGACAAAAATTAAATTCTGACAGTCACTTTATACTTTACTCAAGTGATAAACAAACGCAAACACAAAAAACACATTATGATTGAGTCTTATTTCGAGTTCACTGTTTCATCTAAAAACAAGCCAATCCTTACAGCGTGCGGTCACGAATTTTATTTCAAGCGAAAACATCAGTTTACAGAAACTAGATTTGCTCAAAATATCAAACACATAAATGTCGAGCAACTGCTATTACTGAAAATAACGAATTAATCGAGACGCGTGGAGAGCATAACCACGACATTTCAGCGGGAAAAATGGAGGCCCGAATTGACATAAAGCCTATGAAAGATCTCAGCGAGAGATTTACCCCGTCTGTTGGAGTTGCCAGTGCGGTTTTGCCAATTACAAACGATTTGGCTACTCAGTTTGCTCTCCCAAGTAAAGACAAACTGATCCGAACGGCTGCTCGCACTCGTAAGCAGCTAGATGTAAATATGCCGCCCATCCCCGTTGCGCGAAATTTCGAGATCCCTGAAATTTTTGAAAGTTTTATCCGGTATGGCAGTGGATCAAATGATCATGAGCGAATCATTTTGTGCGGCGACCCCGAAAAGCTGAGCGTTCTGGAGAAGTCATCTTTGTGGTTAGCCGCAGATTTTTTCCATCTCTCCCAGAGTTACATGAGAAAAATTAATGAATTGGGTCTGAAAGTGACCTACGAAACGAATCACGATTTAGCGCTGGCTTTAAAAATGCTGCCATCGCTTGCATTTGAAAAAAAAAAAAAAGATCGGCGATTCCTATGACATGATCGTTCAGGAAATTCAAAATGTATGCGACAAAAATTGCTTAGAACCCGAGAAAATTGAGAAAAATGACGAGTTATGTCTGTACTTCGGCTCTACTTATATAAAAAGCTTGGTGCCAAACCGTGAAGTTTCATTCCCACCCTCCCTTTGGAACCAGCGAGATGCGGCCGTGATGGGGATTGCCTGAACAACAAATGCTGTCGAGGGATGGCATTTCGGGATTTAATCATATTTCAGCGGAGCCCACCCAAATATGTTGAAAGTAGTGGGTAGCCTGCAAAAAGACGCTTCCGTACAAAAACTCAATTCTTGCAGAATCCCGGAAACGTAACTAAACGCAAGAACGTGACTCGTGCCTTAGCAATTTTATCCCAGGACAATCGCCCTTATTTTTGGGATGCTAGGTTGGGACTACGGGCTGGCAAACCCTTTAGCTTTGCGTTTATGTGCCAACAGTTCAAAAAAAGCTGACAAAGCGATCAGGTCATAAGTTTAAGTTCGAGAATGATTCTAAAAATAATGATTTTAAGGCTTTTGGCATTAGTTAAAACTATTTTAAATTTCTATACCGGCTGAAATTGTCTAGAAAATTAGGCCATATTAGTCAAAGGACGTCTAATTATTTGCGGGCTTTTGAAGTTCATTGAACTATTGCTTGTTTTTGGTTCTTTTTGGAATGATTCATTGAAAATATTGGCAAGGCCATT